GAAAGACCGATCACTATTCGTAAAAAACCGTTAGTTTATTGCAAAACGCAGGTAAGCTGCTGTGTTTAGGTCCATCGGAACGCACTAATGTTCTGCGGAAAATGAAAGGTAGAGGGGTAACGGGATTATACGTACCCTGGTAACAGGGGTGTGTGTCACACGAGATGGGCATGGTGTTACTGCACCCAAATAAGAATACTGTACGTGCCTGGATAGCCAATTGTTATGCATGTATTTTTATATATATAGAACAAATCATACATTTAAAAGTAGGCGGCTTTGCCACAGATAAATCAAATAATTACATTTACATTTTAAACAGAATAGTTTATTGGCCATGGGTTAAGGTTCTAGCTACTTTTGGAGGTAGCGGATTGCGATCCGCTACACTCGTACTGGTTCTTGTGAAGAACGTAAGGTCGGTGACCTAAAGTAAGCATCCTCTAAGCGCAAAGCTACGATAGCCCCGTTGCACTTGGTAGCACTCGTAGTCAATCTACACCTGAGTCGTTAGACTGACCCTCGGTGGGGATGGAACAATTTTCCTCTTTGCCTCAGGGCATGCAGGACGGGCTTAAAAAGCTGATGTCCTTGTTTGGCCCTGAGGGCGTGCAATCGGTGTGCGCCTAGAGGCGTTTTCAAATTACGAAAGCGCGATACTAGAGCACCTGCAGCAGTAGATGTCTGCATCATTTGCGTCTATGACGCCACCGTCAGTGATGGATGATTTTCCCCGCCCTAAGCCATTCATGGTGGGCGTTAAGGTCTTTGAGGGGAAGGATGGAGAGAACCTGGTGCTCTGGGTGAGAGAGGTCGAGATGGCCATAGCATCCGCCATGCTTCAGACCGAGCAACAGCGCGTGGCGCTAGCCATTTCAAAGCTCGGTGGTCGAGCGCGAGAATGGGCACTGACGTGCGGCACTTTGGTCGAAGCTGCGTTTTCCTCCTGGGCAGAGCTGAAATGCAGCTCTCACGAGTGTCCTCACCGCCTAATCAGGCATATCGCGTGCGATCGCGTTTCCTTGCCGCCCGACAGGGC